ACCAGTCCTTGGAAAAGGAAACCATGCTTGGAAGGGTGGAGGGACAGCTCAAAAGAGGAAGATCCTGGATGAGATGGATTGACATAGTAATTGGAGTGATAGGAGTAGGTGTGTGAGAGGCAATGAGATTGCCTTAGGATAGGGCATGGTTTGGAGTTATTGTGAACAGGGTCACTATGAGTTGCAGTCGACTCAACAGCACATAGCAACAAAAGTAACAATAAAACTGAGTAAAATTCTAGAACATATCTTTGTAAATGAATATTTGTTTTAAAAAAGAAAAATAAATTTTTTTCTTCATTTTTCTTTTTCTTTCTTTTTTTTTTTTCTCTCTTCGGAGGGGGAAGAGAGCTGGTGGGGAGGGGTGGGAAGGGAGAAAATTGCGGCAATGAATGAATGGAAATCCAAAACCTCTGTAAAAAAAAAAATTAAAAAAAAAGAAATATAGAGAAACTGAAAGTGGATTTGAAACTTAGTTACATTAAAACTAGGAAGAATTAATAGGAATAAGCTTTCTTTCTTAGTAAAAAAAAAGCTTTTCTATTCTATCAGAGGCACTTGAAAATACTTGACATCAAAAAAGGCATGAAATCTTGTTTTCCTTAAGTATACTTTGATATTCTACAGAAAGAAGAAAGCCTGGTTACATTTTGGGGAGCTTTCTCTGTCCTTCTCAAGGGGGCTGGGGTGATTGCAGATGAACAGCATAGCTGCTTAGCTCCAGAGGAACAGGGCTTGCTTAAGTCTGGGATACAAAAGAGACTTGACGATGCTGTATTTCATTCAGTTGTCTTTAATTGTGTCTCATTTTATTCTGGCCCTTTCCAGTTTGCATGATTTTTCTAAAATGCTCCAAAACCACTCTCACCTCAGAGACTTTGCTCTGGAACATACCACATCCTCGTGGTTCACTCCTATGTCCTCTGCTTATTCTTCTGTTCTCACTCTTTCAAATATCAACATTTCAAATATCAACACCAGCTCTACCTCTTCCCTAGGCCATTCCTCAAACGGAAATGTAACCAATCCAAATCCACGACTGTCAAGTCATTCTGACTCATGGCAATTTTCTATCAGGTTTCCCAGGCAATGAATCTTAATGGGAGAAGACTATCTCAGTTTTCCTTCTTGGAACAGCTGATTACTTTTTATTTTAGCAGCCAAAAAGGGAGCTCTGATAAGAAGTTGTGCTGCAATCCCTAAATCATGCAGTTCAAATCCACTAGCTGCTCCATGGGAGAAAGATGGACAATCTCCTCTCATTAGATTAACCACCATTGAGGGTCAGCTATGAGTCACTTCCAGCTTGATGTCTTAGAACAAGCAGCCCAATACATAACCTACTATCTCATGAGGGACCCATCCCTTCAACAGGACTCATTATTTCCATGCTTTAGTTTTCCATTTAACATTGTCCTCTATCAGCAACATTGTTGTTGTTAAGTGCTGTAGAATCTTAGATGACCCGTAGTGACTTTATAAATGAAAAGTCTTGAATGCAAAACTTTCATCTTTTCTCCAAGTTCATGGAGTTTCCAGAGGCAAGCTTTTTTTGTTTTTTGGACATGGATGCCACTCCTGCTTCCAAGCCTGTTTGATTTAGGAGATTCACAAACACCCCCAAGGGCCTAAAAGCCTTTTTAAATATTGAGGCCAAAAAATATGGAATGCTTTGCTAATTTGCTTATTATTTATCTATTTTATTCATTATATTATCAATAAAATTCCATTCCCTGATGAGCACACATTACCTAGAAGTATTGAGCACAAAATAGATTATTAATGTCTATTTCTTGAATGTATGAAAAAATAACTAGTTGCAGTCACCTTTTAAAAAATGTAAACATGAGGGCTATGGTAAAATATTAATATCACAATACTGTAGTCAATTCAATGTGGCTTTTTTTTTTTCGAACAAAAGACCGAGATTTTTCCAAACACCATAAGTGGAGCCAAAATTAACAGTTGCCTTTTCCTCTGCTATACCTTTTCAAAGTGTCTAGATTCTGCTAGTTTGGAAAGTGATCCCTTCAGTTTAGGTCACATAGACTAATCCAAGAAATGCCCAACTGGATGAGTCTTGTTTTTGTTTGTTCAGGGGCATAAAAGCAAAACTTCCTAAGATAGAAAGGATTGTTTGTTATAACACTCTTTTTAAGATGGATCTTTAATTTCATTATTCTGGCATTATAAGAATAAAATAAATTTAATAGATATGACTAATTAATAGAATTTTCTGTGATGTTCTATGTCTGTAATGTGCTGTATATCAGTCATAATCCACATTTGGCCAATGAATATTTGAGATGAAACTGAGGTGACTAAAGAACTATGCCTTTTAATTTAACTTAATTTCATTTAATTTAAATGAATTTTAATTTCTATAGCTTCATGTGACTGTTGTTGTTGTTGAGTACCATCGAGTTGGAACTGACCAATAGCTGACCTTCCAGTGGGTTCTCAGAGGCAGTTAATCGCATGGGAGGAAACTGCCTACCCTTCTCCCACAGAGCAGCTGAAAGATTCTAACCACGTGCATTTGGGCTTGCAGTGCCTGTTCTTGCCACTAGGCCACCAAACACCCCTCCTCATGTGACTACTTGCTATCATATTGAACAATCTGGAGAATGAGCTATACTTATGCTAGAAATTATAAAAGAAAATACTCTGTCTTAAAAAGTCCAATTAAAAATATTCTATCCCTTTAGCCTTGAGATGTTTCTCTACTATTTAGAAAAAATTCAATAAATCTAAATTTTAAAATCTAGCTTAGGTTTAATAGTGTAAAAAGAGAAAGGTTAACATTGGAGAACATAGGGAAGGCTGACTCTGACTTCTACCAGCTTCTTAAAAGGGAACTGTCCCCATCAATAACATCTACATTACCAAACAACTACAAGGTCAGACACGCCCCCACCCCCCAGACACTCCTGCACCTATTTCTACTAATCACTGAGTCTGATGTTTGACTCAAAGCATATTGACTCAAAAACTTGAATTTACACATAGTTGTGAGGTTTATTAAGGGAAGATGTGGAGGAGTAGGGAAGGCAAAGAATGTTACACAGTGAAAATCCAAGTTTTAGTGAAGAGGAATCCCAAGTCAGGTTAACAGCAAGACAACATTTCTCAATTAGTTCAGACAGCTTCTCAATCAACAAATGAAAGGCCAGGTTCAGCCCAGTAACACAAATGCAAGAAGCCTCTGGTTTTCTCAATCATCCAGCAAGCTTTGTCTCAAAGTAGTCACAAGTCACAAGTCAGCTTTTTCTTCAGTTGTCCCACAAGCAAAACTGTTAACTCTGGCTCTGTCTCCAAGACTCTATCATGCTGCAGTCTCTCTAAAGTCAGTTTAGCGCTCTCTCTCTTATGTTGGCCTTGCAATTGTTGATATTGAAAACACTGATAAATTGGTCTGCAGTTGAGGTAGCTGGAGACCGTGCCTCCAGATGGGGCTAAGGCAATGGATATAAAAGCCATTTTCAAAAGGCTTGACATCACAGGTAGACAATATTTGGAAATGTCTCAGGTCTAGGTAAGGTCTGAGAATTTAGCATACCAAACTTTAGTATGATTCTTTGCAATTAAATCCCTTTTCATCCTTAAAAACTATATTCTCTAAACTCTTTCTTTCTATTCTGGAATTAATATAGAATTAAGTTAATCTAAATATCTACTCTTATTATATGAATTAATGAAATTGGAGCATAGTTCAAAGTTAGTTATATAAATGAAAACCTGCTGATACAGGAAAGTAAAAATAACTATAGCCAGGCCTACACTAGGTCTGTCTTTAATTGTTTTTGGTGAAACATTCTTCTAGGTTGTATAGCCCTGGTGTGTCCACTTGCTGTACAGAGGTAACTTGTGCTTGCTGTGAAGCTGAACACTGTGGCACTTACGTGTCAAATGTGATAATGGTTACCCATGATGGACAGTGTTTGGTGGTGCTCCCCAGTTAAAACAAGCTTGGAAGCAAGCACAGCATCCACTTCTGTAAATAGCTTGCCTCTGGAAACCCTATGAACCTGGAGAAAGGATGAAAGACACACAAGTGTTGAGGACTTTTGCTCATAGGGTTGCTATGAGTCACCAACTACTCGACGGCACTTAACAACAACAACAACAACAACAAACTGCATGTGGTTGTGGGAGTGGGTGGAAGTAGGGATTCAACAAACCAACAGCAGATTGTCTACACTTTTAAGTAGTTTAAAGTTTTAGTGAAGTGCTCTTCAACTTTTAAAAAGGTCATACTACAGAGTACACTAACTTAACATTCTGGTTTGTTTTATGTGTTAAGTCAAATCACATCATAGAATAATAAATGTTGAAGCTTAAGGAATAAAATGCTACTGTAATGGTTATGAAAGAGTGCTCAATTAATATTCCTTTATCTTTGTAATATCACATTGTGAAGGTACTCTGTGTGTGTATATATAGCAATAGATACTAAATTGGTCAGCCCACCTTGAATATATGTTAAATGACACTAATATAGTAGGTGCTATTATGAAAATTGATTGGATTCCATTAGGTTTTAATGTCTTACTAGTTCAAAGCCCTAAAATGTGTAATACATCTTGTCAGATGCTCCTGACATACAGATATCTGCTGTATATGGAATAATGTCATACTATTAATCAACTCTTCAACCTATAACAAATCATCATTTTAGAAAATAGAAAATAAAATCTTTAGACACAGCACTTTATTATACCTGGTAGCAGCCTAAAAATATTGATAACATTTTAAGCAAATTTGCACCATTTTACAGAATGTACAATTACTTTTCTAGAAGTAAAATGATCTGTAATAGACTTTAAAAATTCTTTTTATCATAGTACAAACTACTGGTATTTGACTTGGAAGAATTTTGTTAGGATGATATGATTTTATAGCACACATGCTTATCAAATACTAGGGTAAAAGTGTATGGAATGAAACATGAGAGATAGACACAGAGATACGTGGAAATTGAACATGCTTATACACTTATATCAGATGCTTTCTAGGAATCGTATACAAGAGGCTGCTGTTTCTTCAATGGATTTTGACCAACCACCAATGTTTCCAGCAAAGTAAGGAAGGATACTAGATGAAATCTGGTTGAAGTAAGATACCTGTTTAAAAAAGAACATACAACATTTTTATTTATAGTCTTATTAACTTGGAACTTTTCCCATCAGGGATTTTAATTCCATTGAAAAGAGAGAGCGTTATGCCCTTAATCTTTTGGACACCTGGAATAAATCTGAAAGGTTGACTTTAGGATTGCCCCAGTGGGGACACACATCACAGAATTGCAATAGGGAATTCTGGGTAAATGAAAAGATTTCTCTATATCTGTAAGTGCAAATTAGTGTGCAGATGTTTCATCAGACTTACAGTGCATGAGTTGCTGTCGGTAGCATGAATCAGAAATCCGGAACATATGATTTCACTTCTGGTATACTCCAGGTAAGGTGGGACGGTAGGCAGAAGAACTGATTTTACTGCCACAATGTAAGTATTTCTGAAAGATTGAAGGGGCATTTTGTAAGTTCTTACAAGAAATGAAGTGCATATGCTGGAAAATAAATTAATAAAGTCAATTCAAGTTATTTATATGGGTAGAAAGAGACTTGGAAGACCTAGACCATATAGATTAGTGTTCAGCCCTAGAAAATATTCTCTATGGCTACATTCGAGTATAGGAAATGTAATCATAAAGGTCACTGGTATGTTCTGCCTACAAATCATATTGACTTTTTCAAATTCACTGAGGGTCAACTATGAGTTGGTCCCAACTCAACGGTGTACAATAAACAACAACTCGATAAAGGCATTCTGGTGGCATAGTCTATAAGAGGTTAGTTGTGCTGCCTACCCAAAGGATTGAATCCATCAGCCACTCCATGGGAGAAAGATGGACAACAGCCTCCGAAAATTCACTAGAGGGTCAGGTGGTAGTCAGTTCCAACTCTATGGCGATGAGTTTTTAAATTTTTGTCCTTTTTTTAGTTCCACAAAGATGAAGTCAGTCTCCAGGATAAAATTGTGTTGTGCCTTATAAAACTGAAGAACTCTAGTGGCCTAGTCCATGAGGAGCTATGCTTCTAACTCAAAGGCTGCACTGCGCTGGGGGTTTGAGTCCACCTGCTGCTGTCCAGAGCAACCTCCTCCTGTGTGATCACCAGTCTCCAAAATCCACTGGCGTGCCAGCTCTGAGCCACTTCTAAAACTGGGGCAATGAGTTTGTTATATTTTTTAAAGAACTGGAATTTAGTCCTCTAATTTTTTATTTACAAACCAATCTTTATTGTTAATGATAGTAAACCCTCTAACAATAAGAAACCATTGTTGTTGTTATTGTTAAGTGCTATCGAGTCGTAGGTGATGCATAGCGACCCTATGAACGAGTGTCCTCAACACTGGCATGTCTTTCATCCTTTCTCCAGGTGCATAGGGTTTCCAGAGGCAGGCTATTAAGGAAGTGGATGCCACTCTTGCTTCCAAGCTTGTTTTAATAGGGAGCTCCACCAAACATTGTCCACCATAGGTAACCATTAAAGAATTTGACACATCAATGTCACAGTGTTCAGCTTCTCAGCAACTACAAGTTACTTCTGTATGGCAAGTGGACACACCAAGGCTATAGGACCTAGAAAAATGTTTGACCAGAAACAACTGAAAACAGGCGTGAGGGCCACGGATTAGAGTCACCCACCTTTGGCTTGATAGCATCACTTTCTAAAAACTTTCTTTCATCCCCTCTAGTCCTGATCCTGCTCCCTCCTCAGGAGTTGGCCACTCTTAAATTTTTTTTGTTTATCTGTCAAGATATTTTCTTAAATGTATAGCATTTGTGTTAAAAACGCACATACACATATTTCTATATAAATATGATCATTTTTGTGAATTAGTCTTCAATTAGTTTTTTATTCTTATAATTAATCCTGGAGGTATTGTTACTATCCTTGCATCAGTAGCTACTTCATCGTTTGTTTTTTTTTCTTCATCCTTTTAAATGATGGCACCACACTCTGCGTATGGATCTACAAGAAGAGCATTCAGTTTATCTCTAATATATTTTGCCATGATAAATGATACTGTACTGAAAACCCATGTGCATTAATAGTGATACAGGTTGGGATTGTTTCTATAGGCTAGTTTTGACAGAATGATTCTGACCAGTTCCAGGTATAGAACTTAACTGTTCTAGAACTATCTACTTTTTCCATCTTGGAACATTTGTCCTTGAAATGGTTTCACTCTCAATCTAGACACATGCATGAAACTTCAGAAGACTATAGTACCAGGTTACGTATGATTACAATGTCATGGAAGATGCCTGAGAAAGAATCATTCAGGTAGGCCCTAGGTAACCCATGGAATCAGGACTGATATCAACAAGTTTGTGTTTTAAGTTGCTAAACTTTCGTATGATATATTATGAAGCAGAAGAAAACGGGATCACTGTCTATTTGTTCACCTGTCTTCTGTCCCCTCTTATTTACTTATTTTGTACTATCTAAATTTATTATTCTACTTATTCTACTTCCCCTTCTATTTCTTTGCCATTCATATTATTTCTCAACTTTTAATGGTCACCTGGGTGATCACAATGTGGTCCTTATTTAATAAAGTCTTATATCAGGGAGACTTCACTTTGGCCCTGTACAACTCAGGTACGGCCACACCCCCAGAACTCCAGTGGGCAGGGCTCATACTTTGACGCACTCCTGTAGAATAAAAAACCTGAAAATATTAACTTCATTTATTTGGTCTTGATCTATATGTTATTATTGAGGTATATTTCTAGTGAGAAACTCATTATTATAACTGCTAATGATTTATGTAACGAATATTCATTCAGCTCTACCTATATACTCATTATTTTTATTGCTTGTCATTTGTGATTGCATTTATGACTTTCAATCTTGGAACATTTTTCTCCTGCTTAAAGAACAGTCTTCATTATTTTCATTCATGTAGGACTGCTAGTGACTAACATTCTGTTTCTCAATCTGGAAATGTTCTTATTTCACTTTCATTCTTAAATACTACTTTTAGGGGTAGAAGTTGTCAATTGTTTGGTTTCAGCATTCTGAAGGAGTCATTTTAATGTCTTTGTTGTCATTGTTAGGTGCCATTGGGTGGAATACAGCTCATAGTGACCCTATGAAAAACAGATCGGAATCCTGTCCTATCCTGTGCAATCCTCACCATCTGTAATATACGTAATCCCGTTGCTGCAGTCCCTCTGGTCATCCATCTCATTGGGGATCATCCTCTTTCATTGATCCTCCACGTTTACAATCATTATATTCTTTTCCAAGGAATAGCCTCTCCTAGAAACATGTCTAAAATATGAGAGATGAAGCTCTGCCATCCTTGCCCCCAAGTACCACTCTGGCTGCACCTTTTCCAAGACATACCTGCTTGTTCATTTGGCAGTCCATGGGATAGTCAGTGCTCTTCTCCAGTACTACAATTCAAAGGCATCAATTCTTCTTCTGTCATCCTTATTCATTGTCCAGCTCTCAGACACATAACATGTGATTGGAAAGACTATGGCCTGAATCAGGCACATTTTAGTCTTCAAACTGACATCACTTATCATTGGTGTTTTGGAGATATCCCTGACAATAGTCATGCCCAGATTAATACATCTCCTGGTCTCCTGACTGCTGGTACCAAGGATGTTCATTGTGGATCCAAGTAAGATGAAATCATTGACAGTTTCAATCCTTTCTCAATTTAGCATGATGTTGCCTGTTGGCCCAATAGTTAGGATCTTTTTTCCCCATGATGTTGAGATGTAGTCCATATTGAAGACAGTTGTTGTTGTTGTTCTTATGTGCCATCGAGTCGCTTGCGACTCATAGCGACCCTATGTACAAGAGTTCTAAATGCTGTTCTATCCTGTGCCAACCTAGCCATCTCAAACGCACTTATTCCCACCGTTCCAGTCACAGAATCAATCCATCTCACCAAAGGTCTTCCTCTCCTTCGCTTCCCCTCCACTCTGCCAAACAAGATGTCCCTTCCCAAGGACCAGTACCTCCTTGCAACATGCCCAAAATATGTCAGACGAAGCTTCAGAATCCTTGACTCCAGGGAACACTCTGGCTTCATCCTCTCCAAGACAAACCTGTTTGTTCTCCTAGCAGTCCATGGTATATTCAACACTCTTCTCCAGCACCACAGCTCAAAGGCATCAATCCTCTTTCTATCAGCCCTATTCACTGTCCAACTCTCTGATGCATAGCACATAACTGCGAAGACTATAGCCCGGATCAGGCGCACCTTAGTCTCCAGCCTGACATCGTTGAAGACAGTAGTCTTTGATTTTCTACAGCAAGTGCTTCAGGTCCATCTCACTTTCAGCAAGCAAGGTTGTGTCATCTGCATAATGTAGGCTGTTGATGAGCCTTCCTCCAATCCTGATGTCTTTAGTTTCCTTTAAATTAAGCAAGTCTCTTTCAAAATTCTAGGTGTTTTTTTTTTTTTAACTTTTCTTTTTTCTATGATTTCCAACAGTTTTACTTTGGCATGATTTTGTGTGGTTTTATTTTACTTATCTTGATAAGAGGCCGTTGATTCTCAAATACGGCATTTGAGTGAGGTCTTTAATTAGATTTGTTATGTTCCTCTATGATTTTTTTCAAATATTGCTTAATGTCTCCTTTTCTATCTCTTTTCTGGACCATCAGTTACCTGCATATTAGGTTTTCTTACTGTATGTTATTCTGTCTTTGATATTGTCGATTCCTTTATACCTCTGTTTGAAGCTATAGAATTTATTTCATCCTATTACATGTTTCAGTTATTTTCTCTCCATATGTATAATCAGCTGCTAAAATAGTTCTTTGAGTTCTTCTACATATCTATTCCAGAATTTCTATTTTGTTCTTTCTATATTTTTCAATTCTCTTGAAATTTTCTATCCTACTTCTTTGAATATATTATACATTGTCATTTTTAAGTATTTTTCAGGACTGTATATAATAATCCTATTATCCAGAAGCCTTACACATTGGCTTCTGTTTTCTCTAGGCTTCTATTAACATTATTTTGTCTCTTGTGTGCCTTTTTATTTTTGAGAGAATGTCAGATATTATCATCTTGGCATGTAGCTATAAAAATACTTTGAGGTATGATGTGACATAATTTGGAGAGAATTTACACTCCTTCTGACATACAGCTATGAAATTAGCTATCTAGAATTATCTCAATTCAATTTTAGACTCTTCAATGAACAAAATAATATGTGTCAGTTTCTGAGAAAGTCAGTGCTGTTTCAGTTCACCTTTACTCCTAGGAAGTCACACTGCAAGATCTTAACTCTAAGATTCATGAGTTAATCACCCCTCATTTTTCCATAAATCAGGAAGGAAGAATGGAGGGATGGAGTGATGGAAGGAAGGAAAGAAGGAAGGAAGGAAGGAAGGAAGGAAGGAAGGAAGGAAGGAAGGAAGGAAGGAAGGAAGGAAGGAAGGAAATCTGTTCAACTTCTTAAACTTCTGTTGCTTCTTCTGGAATCACTCAATGTTCTTAAAGGGAAAATTACCCTTTGCTATGCTCAATCCTCTGGATTTTGTTTTTTTTTAAGTTCTTTGATTTTTCATTGCCTTGGTTACATTCCAATGTTGTTCTCATTATGTGTTGTTGAGTCAACTATGACTCATTGCAACCCTATGAATATTAGCTCTGAACCCTGCCCTATTTTGAGTCAATCTCACTGTCTCTAACACACCTGCCCCCATTGCCAGTCACTGTGTCAATCCATTTGATCGGGAGACTTCCTCTCTGGTGCTGACTCTCTACCCTTCCAAGCATGATGTCTGGTCTTTCCTAGCCAAGTGCCAAAAGTATGTGAGATGGTATATGCATACTTTCTACATTCTGATAGATTTTTGAAAATATCTCTTTTAAACAAATTGGAAGTTCACAGTATTTTTTTCTCTAGCGATAACATAACACATTATCACAAGTTAAGTGGTTTGATATAACAGCAGTGTACTCTTTCATAGTTCTAGAGGTTAGAACTCCTAAACCAACCTGTTGGCAAGGATATCCTGTCTTTGAAGGATATTCTATTTAAGTGGTTACCAGTAATCACTTAGGATGCCTTGTAATCCTATGGATGTTTTGGTTTATAGTTAGCACTGCAACCTCTGCCTTTATCTTCACATGGCTTTCTCTGTCATGTTTCTGTTTCTCTTTTCTTCTTACAAGGACCCCAGTCATATTGGAATAGGGCTGCCCTAATGAGTATGGCCTCATCTTGACCTGACTATATCTGTAAATATACTACATTTTAATAAGGTCATATTCACAAGTACTAGGAGTTTGATGTTGTTGTTGTTGTTGAATACTGTCAAGTCGGAAGTGACCCATAGGTGACCCTCCAGCAGGTTTTCAGAGGCAGTAAATCACACAGGAAGAGACTGCCCATCTTTCTTCCATGGAGCTGCTGGTGGATTTGAACAATGTAACTTTGTGTTGGCAGTGAGTTAGGACTTCTAAATATATTTTTTTCAGATTGCACAATTCAATTCACATTGTCTCAAGTTAGAAAACATTACTTTGTGCATTCTTATTCAATTCATATAATTTCATTTGATTTTCAATGCATTTGGACCGACAGTCGGAATGTTATAAGGTTTTGTAAATTATCAGTTTTGCATCTGTATAGAGACTGGTGCCTTTCACAAAGCTTTTACTCAATAGATTATTATAATTTTTTTAACTTTAATTTTTTGTAAAAAGATCTCTCATCCCTCCCCTGAGCCCTTGAAAATCTATCTGGGGACGGGGGTGGGGGTGGGGGTGAGAGTAAATGATCACTCTTCAAGACCACAGATGCTAATACTGATTTTTCTTATTTTCATGTCAATTTTTCATTTCGCCTCTATGCTACAAAACATTATAACGCTTGAATTCTATATACTCACTCATTTGTGAGAGGCTCTCTTCGTGATACAAGCACTACCAAGTCTTTTGGTTTGTCACCATTCATTACAGGACAGGTGATGTAGTATATCTGGTCATTTTCATTCACACTGGTTATGACTTTACATGATCTATATAAATAAAACATCGAGAAAGAAAAAAAAAAGATTACACTTTCCTATCTGTAATAATAGGGCATTCATTTCTTTTGTTTGTTTGCACAATTTTACTGTTGTGATGCATGTTCACCCAGCCATAATTTCAACATTAGCTTCATTGCTTAGGCTGTCTTTACAATGAACTATGTGGTCCAAAGGAATAATTCTTCTAATAAAGAGAATGGGGGCCATCAGTCTCTAATCCCGTTGCCTTCAACACCTCAAAGAAGGAATTTTTCCTCAAGAGAATTCTTCTTTTGGATAATGTAAAACATTTTTAACACCGTTGAATAGCTCATAAATTATTATCAAGTAAAAAATGTAGTTTATTGGAAAGGGCACTGATACTGGAACAAATCAGCTTGCTTTTAATACATAATGCTACTTAGTAGCTATATTATATTAGTTTTATACATATTTCTACTTAGTAGCTATGCTATATTAGGTTTGTTTTTAACCTGTAAAATAAAAATAATAAAATATAATATACTTGATTATTGTAAGGATTAAATTACAGCATCTGGCTCAGTATATGACTGTACACATAGACCTCACCTAATTGACTACACAGGAATCAGATTCATTATATCTGTGGAGAAAATCACTGGAGAAGCTCAATATCAGCTGTGAAAACTAAACCAGGTGCTGATTATGGAACAGATCATCAAATATTCATATGCAAGTTCAAACTGAAGCTAAAGAAAATAAAATCAAATGCACAAGAACCAAAGTTTGAATTTTATTCTATCCCATCTGAATTTAAAAAATCATCTCTGGAACAGGTTTGAGGCTTGAACACTAAGAATCGAAGACCACATGAGCTGTGGGAGGATATATAGAATATCATCCAGGAAGAATGCAAATGGTCATTACAAAGACAGAGGAGGAAGAAAATTCTGAGGTAGATGTCAGAAGAGATTCTAAATATTGCATTAGAACACCAAGAAGCCAAAGTAAAGGGAAGAATCAAGAAGTTAAGGAGCTGAACAGAAGATTTCAAATGGCAGCTCAGGAAGACAAAACAAAGTACTACAATGAAAAGTGCAAAGAGCTGGAGTCAGAAAACCAAAATGGCTAAACTCATTTGGTATTTCTTAAGCTGAAGGAACTGAAGGAAGAGTTTAAGCCTTGAGTTACAATACTTAAGGATGCTGAAGGCAGAATGTTGAATGATTCAGGAAGCATAAGAAGAAGATAGAAGGAGTACACAGAGTCACTGTAACAAAAGGAATTGGCTGACAGAGAAGTATTTCATGAAACAACATATGATCATGAGGTGTTATGAAGGATTTAACAAAACACAAGTCCCCAGGAATTGATGTAATACTAGTTGATATATTGTAACAAAGGGGTGTAGCCGTAGACATACTCACCAGGTTGTGCAAAGAAATATGGAAGACAACTACCTGGGCAAAGGACTGGAAGAAATCCATATTTATTTTTATCTCCCCCCACACACAAAAAAAGATGATCTGTCAGGGTGTGGAAATTACCAAACAATATTACAAGTATCACACAGAACATGCCAAAGATTACCTAAAAATGACCAGAACAATACATTGAAAGAGAACTTTCAGATGTGCAAGCTGATTTTAGAAGAGGCTGTGGCAATATAACCAAGTTAGATGGATCTTAGCTGGAAGAAGGGAGTCCCAGAGGAATGACTGTGTTTCATTCCCTATGCCAAGGCTGTGGTTCATAAAAATAATGTGGCTAACCTTGAGAAGAACTGGAATCCAAGAACACTTGATTGTACTCCTGTGAAACCAGGAAGCAGTTCTCAAAATAGAGCAAGGAAATACTACATGGTTCAAAATCCGGAAAGGTATATGTCAGTGATGCATCCTATCTCCATACCTGTTCAATCTCTATGCAGAATAGATCATTCAGGAGGCTGAACTTTATGAGGAGGAATGTGGCATCAGGATTGGAAAAGACTCATCAATAACCTGCATTATGCAGATGTTACAAGCTTACTTGCTGAAATAGAGAACAACTGGAGTGTTTGGTATAGAAGGTCAAGGACTGTAGTCCTCAATATGTAGTGAAGTTCACACAATGGAATACTACACTACATTGAAAACAAGGAACTCATGCAATATTATTCAAAATGGGTGACCCTGGAGGACATTATGCTGAGTGAAGTATCTCAGTCACAAAATAGGACTGACCTCGGGCTCAGGAGGAGACTGAGAAAGATGGGTTCAATAATGTATACTGTATTGAAACAGTAAGGGGAGAAAACTGTTTAAAAGACATATGTGATTAGGTATTTTTGCCATGACAGGAGTCCAGAGTGAAGGCTGAATAGTGGAGTGGACCTGGGGGAGGGTTTGTAAAACAATGAAAGAATTTTTCTTTTACTTTTCCAAGATGGTAGTGTAAAAAAAAAATGTAGTGAAGCTCAACCTGAAATAACAAAGTTTCTCACCACTGGGCCAATTGGCAGCATCATGATAGATGAAGAAGAGATTAAGATTGTTAACCATTTCCACTTGCTTGTTTCCACAATCAACACTCTTGGCGCCAGCAGTCAGGAAATCAAAAGACAAATTACATTAGGAAAATCTGCTATCAGGAACCTCTCCAGAGTGCAAAAGGGTGACAATGTCAGTCTAGAGAGCAAGATGAACCTGTTCTAAGTATGGGCTTTGCAATTACTTGCTATGCATTGCAATCTGGACAATGACTCAGAATGATAGAAGACTTGATGCCTATAAGTTGAGATACTGAAGAAAAGTATTGAACATACTTGACTGCCAAGAGAATAAACAGATCTGTTCAGGAGAGGGTGCTACTCCTTGGAGGCAAGAATTTTGACTCTCCATCTCTTAAACTTTATTGCCAGGAGGTGCCAGTCCTTTGATAAGGACAGCATGCTTGGAAGGGTGGAGGGACAGTACAGGAAAGGAAGATACTGGAAGAAATGGATTGACACAGTAACTAGGATAATGGGTGTAGATGTAATGCAGACAATGAGATTGGCTCAAGATAAAGTAGGGTCCAGAACTATTGTACATAGTACATTGTTATGAGTAGCAGGTGACTCGATGGCACATACAACAATAACAAGAACAAAATGTTGAATAACACAAGTCACATCCAAAAAGATGGACTACATAGGATTATTATAACAAAAAGAATTGGTTCATATTCAACCATTTCAGAAGGTAAATGTTATGTACCATTGAATCAGAACTGACACATAATTGACCCTCCAATAGGTTTTCAGAGTTTTGTAAATTACATGGAGGGAGCAGATTGTCTTTTGTTTTCCCATAAACAGATGATGGATTTGAACCATGTGTCTTCTGGTTGGCAGTAAACTCCGCACAACCAGGCTCCCAGAGCTCCCTTTTCCAGGAAGGAGCATGTGATTAAGAACCAATGGTATTAAAGGAGAAGTCCAGGTTACACTGATGACCTTGATGAAAAAGAAGGATTCAGAAATTGGTGAAGTTTCAGTTGAAATATTTCAACTAAATGTACAACACTGGAGGCATTCACTTTCTATGCCAAGAAGTTTGAAAGATAGCTACCTGATCAACCAAGTGAATTCCAAAGAAAGGTGAGTCAACAGTGGATAGAAATTACCAAACAATACAATTAATATTACATGCAAGTAAAATTTTGATGAAGAAAATTAAAAAGTTATTTGAGCAACACATTGACTAGTATATTCTGGAAATTCAAGCCATATTCAGGAGACTGTGTGGAATGAGGGATATCATTGCAGTGAATCCAGAAAGATGTTTACCTGTGTTTTATTGCCTATTTAAAGGTATTCAACTGTGTGATCACAAAAAATCACAGATATTATTCTGAAGAATAGGAATTTCAGAATGTGAGTTCCCCCCCCCCCCACTGTGCTTGTACAGAGCTCATATATAGACCTAGAGGCAGTTATTCAAACAGACCAAGGGGTAATTAACAGTTTATAGTCTGGAAAGGGCACATCAGCTTTACATCCTTTCTGACACTTAGTTTTTACATTGAACAAATAACCAAAGAAGTTGATGCATCAACAATCTGCAATAAGCATACAATACACGCTTTTTAAAAGTGAAGAATATTAGAAGCACTTAAAGAAGATGAAAGATGTGGCCACCCAAGTGGACTAACTCAGTCCTACAAGGACAAATGTGGTATAAAACCATTATTGTAGGATCAGTATGAAGATTCAAGGCAGGAAGAAGGGTGTAAATGGAGGAGTGAGGACGGGGGGTAAAGTGTTAATCATAGGGTTGCACAACTTGATGGGTGGTTGGGGTGAAGGAAACAGGAAGGCTCTTTTGTGGAAAACAACATATTCAAACTTTGTAAATAAATCAGAATAATAATAAAAAAAGATTATGAGCATCCATTAGCATTACATAAAAAGTCCTCAGAACTGGACCAGTAAACAGTATCATGATGCATCAAGAAGAGACTGAAGTTGAGGATTCTATTTTGCTTCGATCCACAATGAATGGCCATGGAAGCAGCAGTCAAGAAACTTAACAACTCAAAGCACTGGGAAAATCTATCACCAAAGATCTTTTAAAAGGGTTTAAGATCAAAGATGGCATTTTGAAGAATTTGAAATATGTCCAACTTAATTGCTTAATAAGTATTTTCAATTGTCTCATATGCATCTGAAAGCTGGACAATGAATAAGGAGATCAAAGAAGAATTGATGCATATGGTCAAGCCTGTGGTGATGCAGGAGGAAGTTCAAGCTATTAAAGTTATTAAAAAAATAAGGCCCAGGAATTGATGGCATACCAATTGACATATTTCAAGTTGGCCAAGAAATCTGGAGGACAACAGACTGACATAGTGACAGGAAAATTGGATGCCAGGATGGTACAGGACCCAGCAGTGCTTAGTTGTATTATACACAAGATTGGTATAAATGGGAGCCAACTTCATGATAACTATCAACAACACAGTAACACTGAGAGTGATATTTAAAAGTTTTAAAAACAAAGCTCTTTCTTGTGAAGATTAGGAAATAAGTGCTATTAGTTAAAATATTAGAAAGTCTATCTCATCAATCCTTCTCTTTCTCAAGGCATCTGTAAAGCCCCGAAAGGTACTGTCTGGAGGAGGCTGAAAGCCTCTTCCCAGGTAACAGGGGCTGTGCTGGATTGCAAGCAGTCATTGTTGGTGCAGTCAACAGGTACTCAGCTCTGTATTCAGGAACCAAAGAAGAGTATAAGTGACTGCGTTAGGCATGTAGGAGAGGAGAGAAGTAGGGATTTGGAAAAGTGCTTTGACAAGACAGGGCAAAAAGCAATGCATCTCACAGCAATACTCACACAACTTCTTCTATTGTTTCAATTAAACATCAAGAGTGAAAATTGAGAAGATAATGAAATAATAATTTTCAAACCAATGAAGTTATGTATTAAGTGCAAGAGGGTGGAACTCAGAAACTGACTTGGGTCCAAATTTGGGTTCTGTCCTGACTGCCTGCCTGTGAAATCTTGGACAATTTTGGACAATCTTGGACAATATCTTGTTTGTTAAGTGGGAATAATATCAACCCTGGAGAATTCTTGAAAGTATTACACTACAAGCAGACAAAACATGTCAGCTCAAGGTAGATGGTAATTAAGTGTTTATAATCATCTTTATTCTGTGTTTCTACATTCTGTGGGTTTGGTGCAAAGCAAGATTAAGAAAGGTTGTTTTTTTTTAATTTTTAATACATCCAGGGTGTTAGACATTGGACAATGGAGAGGAACTGAAATGTAGAGGTCATCTTTTACGTATCATGATAAAAAAAATTATTCTTACACACAATGAGTATCCCATGAAGGTCGCCTTTTAAAGTCAGATAAGATGTCATATGCATGAAGTGCTGATTTTTCCACATGCTTTTCAACCCAAACAGATAAAACATTGTACTCCTCCAGAGTATATATTTTTATCTGAAAGGAAAAAAACCCAAACAACAAATAAATTACAAAATTGTTGTATACTGCCAAGTCCATACCTTTTCAGTTTAATTTGCAGAATAGATCATTTGAGGGGCTGGGCTTTATGAGAAGGTATGTGGTGTGACACAACCTTGCTTGCTTGAACTGAGGAGGACCCAAAGCACTTGCTGCAGAAAGTTAAGAACTGTAGTCTTCAATATTGATTGATGTTCATAGCACCATCATTCACCATCACAAGAACATGGAAACAGCCCAGATGACCGACCACGAATGAGTGGATTGAGAAGTTGTGGTACATTCATATACAGCATGCAGGAGCAATGATTTTGCAAATTACTACCTAACTTGGGAGGGACTGGAGAACATTATTCTGAATGAACTAACTCAGTCTCACAAGGACAAATACTGTATAAAACCAATATTATAGAGTGTACATAAGGATCCAAGGTGGTGGAGGGGTGGCGAGGGTGGAAAGAGAGGGGTGAGGATGGGGGGTTAAAGTGTTAATCATAGGGTTGCGCAAGTCTATGGGTGGATGGAGAGAAGGAAATAGAAAAGGTCTTGTATGAAAAACAGGTATTGAAACTCTGTAAAGAAATCAGAATAAAAAATTTTGTAAAAAAAGAAAACAAAGATTCTTCTTTTTTTTTCCTTGAAAACAAAGATTCTTACTACTGGGTCCATTGGCAGCACCATGACAGATGGAGAGGAGACTGAGGTTGTTAATAATTATAGCTTGCTCAGATCCACAGTCAACACTCTTGGCACCAGCAATCAGAAAATTTAAAAAGGCAAATTGCACTGGGAAAATCTGCTGTCAGGGACCTCTCTAGAGTGCAGAGAAGCAAAGATGACAGTCTAGAGACTAAGATGCTCCTGATTCACGCCATGGTCTTTGCAATTACTTGCTATGTATCAGAGAGCTAGATAATGACTAAGGATGACAGAAAAAGAATTGATGTCTTCGACTTGTAGGGCTGAAAAAGAGTCTTGAACATATATTCCATGGACTGCCAAGAGAACAAACAGGTCTGTCTTGGAGAAGGTGAAACTAATTTTCTCCTCAGAGGCAAGGACTTTTAAGCTCTGTCTCACATATTTTGGGCACATGGCCTGGAAAGACCGGTCCTTGGAGAAGGACATCATGCTTGTAAGGTTGAAAGGACAGAGCAGGAAGGAAGACTCTGGAAGAGATGGATTGACACAGTAACTCGAGCAATGAGGGTAGGTGTGTCAGAATCAGTGAGATTGGCTCAGGACAGGGCACACAACAACAACAACAACAACGACAACTCTCAAGTCAGAACCAACCCTTAGCTGACCTTCCAACAGGTTTTTCAGAAGCAGTAAATCACATAAGAGAATCATCCATCCTTCTCTATCAGAGGGAAGTACCCATGCTTTTCTCTCAGAGCATTTAGTAGATTCAAATCATGTACCTTTGTTTTGGCAAAATAATTCTTGACCAATAAGCCACCAGAGCTCAATAACAAAATGTTGTTGTTTTTAAGTGCCGTTGAGTCACAGGCGACTCATAGTGACCCTATGAAGGAGAGTCCTCAGCTCTTGGGTGTCTTTCATCCTCTCTCCAGGTTCATAGGGTTTCCTGAGGCAAGCTATTATGGAAGTGGATGCCACTCCTCCTCCCAACAATAACAAACTAAAAAGTTAAATATACATATCAATGCATACCTTCATATATACACAGAGACTGTGCAAGCTAAAGCATCTTGCTATCCAGGTGCAAATGCAACTAAGATGGCGATTTCAAATTAGTTGGATGGAAAGCGTAATGATCAAGATGTTCTAGGTCTGTGGCCCTCAAACAATATGAGACTTGATGATGGGTTATTTAATTGCTGCACAACAATTTTTCTTATGAGAATGAAGAGAATGAGTCTTTCTCTCTTTTTAGTGTTTCCTTGTCTCTCTCTACCGAGAAACAAGGAAACTCTGATGGCCTAGGCTATAGGGAACTGCACTGCTATCTCAAAGGCCAGTCTCGCAGGCTGTTTGAATTCACTGGCAGCTCTGAGGGGTAAAGATGAGAAATCTCTTCCCCTGTTATTTACAGCCTTGAAACCCTCTGGAGGGTCAGCTATGAGTCAGTCCAACTTGACAGCAATGAGTGAGCGTGTGAGACATAAAAAACAACAGAAAATATCAGCAGACTGCTAGGCCTCATTCTCCTCAAGCAACCACAGAAAATATAATGGGGAACTGGCTAGAGAAGGGAGACGGGAGTTAAGGAAAATAATGGATGGAAAATACTTGTACTAGAATAGGTAAAGGGAAGTTTGGTCTGAAATGAATATACAATCAAATATTACCTATATTGCAATTAACTTTTTGGACAAGATATACACTGTGGATTAAATGGGACAAGGAAGTGGGAATAAAAGAGGAGGGGGAAACCAGAAAAGATGAGTGAAGTTAAACAATAAGGGTTTGCTTTAGCATTATAAAAAGTTAATTACAATAATCAATGGGAATTAAAGCCTATGAATTATTTTTGAAAAAACTAATGTGTTTCATAAACTTTCACCTTTCATTCAAAGTTTTAAAAATTAAGAACCTCCTAAAACCAAGAATACATATTTGTAAGTACATAATGTGAAAGCTGTATAATGATACTCCATGATCTGATCAACCAAAGAGGTATTGGGCATCACATGTATGACAATAATTCAGAACAAGACGTGCATTACAAAGTGGACTAGGGCAGGGGGAAGGAGGAGGAGGGAGGGAAAAGTGCACCAGTGAATGAATTAAAAGCAACAACACACACAAAAAAACCCCAAAGTAGACTGGGGAGGGGGAAGAGAAGGGATAGGGGAAAAATGGGCAACAATGAGTGAATGAAAACACAACCTTTCTGTAAACTTTTATGAAAATCACAATAAAAAATTTTTTAAACAGTAGAGATTATATATGGAATGCAACACTCCTTAATCCTATCACAGACCTGATCTCATGCAAAGAGAATTTGTCTAAGGTGTGGTTTGTTAACACCTTTTATTTCCAGGGGATGAAAGAACAGATAAGTAAGCCAGGAAGGGGAACAACAGTACCAGCAAAAAAGAATCTCAGGAGTGGAGTGTGTTGTTTTGAGCGCACATCTTTGTACTAGAAAGTTCCTTGATGCCTGGGAAAGCTAAAGATACATGGAAATCTCCAGGGGCCTACAAATGCGGGAGGATGCGAGGAAATTCTTCCAGAATGACAGAGTGAGAGGGTTTTCTATTAGAATTGGTACCCTGAATTAGGACTTCTGGTGGCCTACTGGTAAAAAAAAAAACCTCAAAAAACCCTACACTGCAATCCTGAAGGAATGCGTTTGAATCCACCAGCTGCTTCTTCAGAGGTTGATTGATCTCCTCTCCTGAGATTAAACTGCCTCTGAAAACCTGCCAAAGAGTCTTTCTGACTCTACAGAATAAAAGAATAAACTGTAAAGGAATAATTTATCAACCAATCAAAACCGTTTATGTTTTTGACACTTCCTTATGCCAAAAAAGGGAGGGGGAGAGGAGATTAATTGTTAAAACATTTGATAACTTTCTTATGTTGCTGTTGTTGATTGCCTTCAAGCACTTGCTGTTAAGCATAACTCTTAATGACCCTATGAACAAAAAAGATGATGCCTCGAGGGAACTTGGAAGAATCTGTTCTCAAAAACAATGTATTAGAATTTTTTAAATAAGTTAGTATCTTAAAAAAAAAAGACCTGAAGCCTTATTATAACTATCATCTTTTCTCAGAGTTTATGGTTTTCAGAGGCATGCTGTTTAGGACGTGGATGCCACTGCTGCTTCCAAACCTGTCTTATAGCAGGATTAAATAACTAAGACACAAGGTTCTATTGCATAAGATGTTTTTCCAAAACTGTGAAGTATCTCCAAGTGTGCTAAGAGTCCAAGAAAGCAAGCCCCTACCTTCAGCACCAATTGAATCTCTCTGCAGGGTCTCTGAAGGACAATATTTATTTAGGAAAAACCATTCTTTCATTTCTTAGTCACAGACGTTCATTCTTCCAAGAGGTCAATTCTTGAGTTTCTATCATATACCCTTCCCTTCAAAAATAAGAGGCCTGTCTTGTGGAGCTATTTGATATATAATTAAACATTCAGGTCTTTCTTTTTATTCTTAACTTTCCTTCTACTTTGCTTTGGATAATAATCAGAGATATGCATTAAAGTAAGAGTATATTTCTATTCTGCTCCTTTTCCATCTCTTTCAGGCTGTTTTGAAGTTGGAGTTGTAATACGCCATCTTATAATTATTTCCATGGCAACAAGCTGAGAGAAAACAAACAAACATGAGGTTAAGACTTCACTGCAGGAAACAAGCAGATGGAAAATGAGGCTGCAAAGGAGAAAAACCTTTATTTAAACAAAAAAAATCACTTAAAAAATAAGAATGAAACATGGGAAATTAGCCAAGAGCAGGTTAGACAAGAAAAAACTGTTTCTATCATGTTACCTTTTCTATTGACATTACTACCAAGCTTGCCAGTATACCTCATCTTCAAAGAAGAACATAACCTAGGCTGTGGATATTTATCAAAGGTTGTTGTTGTTGTTGTTATGTGCCGTCGAGTTGCTTGTGACTCATAGCGACCCTATGTACAACAGCCCTAAACCCTGTCCTATTCCTTTCCAATCTTATTATCTCTGACTCACCTATCCCCATTACCCCAGTGACTGAATCAATCCATCTCATCGAGGGTATTCCTCTCCTGCGTTGTCCCTCCACCCTCCCAAGCATAAAGTCCCTCTCCAATGACTGATCCCACCTTGCAACATGTCCAAAGTATGTCAGATGAAGCTTCAGAATCCTGGCTTCAGCAGCCTGGCTTCACCCTCTCCACGACAAACTTCTTTGTTCTTCTAGCAGTCCATAGTATAGTCAATACTCTTCTTCAGCACCACAGTTCAAAGGCATCAACTCTCCTTCTATTATCCCTACCTCTCTGATGTATAGCAAATAAT